TTAGCAAATTTCCCCTTCGTTAAATGGACCGATCACAAATTCGGTAGCAACACCTATATTTATACCGTACATCAATCAAGCAGGTAAGTAAGAACAATCAATTCTCGATCGCGGTCGATAACAAGTAGTTATACATATGTACACGTACTTAAATTCTTTTTCTCTTTTTTTTCTTTACTCACCCGCCGTCGAGCATTTGGGTACACCCCGCGGCTACAGGCCGCAATGTAACAGCCACTATACCGTTAATCGTGAAATATCCATAAGCAACTATTTCTCCTCTCCATCAGCTCCTTCTCTGCTCCACCTGTTGTTGTTGTCGGTAGTCTCGCTTCTCCCTTCGTCGAATAAAAAGCTGTGTACAAATATACAAGCGCTCGAGAGAAAAGAAAAGGGGGAAAAAAAAAAAAAAAAAAAAATTGGAGAAGGAGAAGAGGCACTGTGTACCATATACTCCTGTTGTAGCGGAGAGCGTGCAATGCTGTATGCTTATCCTCCTGTTGTTGCTGCCGATGATGGTCGATCGGATCAGTTGGCGCGTGGAGCTCGCACTATCGAGTGTGTATTATATCTAGTGCAGCAATTCTCGTGATATTGTTACCGATTTTTTTTGTTTTAAGTCTTGAAAATTCGATTTGACTGCCGATACTGACTGCATAGTTGTACAGGGTTGTTTTTGAGTTTTTTATTGAGAAAGAAAAATTAAATTATCGACAATTACAAGAAAAATGGAGTGCAAAAGAGTTGCGCTGTTTGTGCTTTCAATTTGTTTGAGCGTAAGTTTTTGTTTTTGTTTTTGTTTTTTTTTTTTTTTTTTCAACATAATTATTTTTATATCAAGCACATTTTAGCCGTAGGTATTTTGCGATAAAAGTAAGAGGTAGGCGTGAAACTATAAATGAAACCGATTAGTTGATAAAACAAAATTAACCCATTGATATTTAATACATACATTTTTCGACATATTACTTTGATGAAACGTATTTCACTTCTTATCCTTTCGATGCAAGAATTGCCTTAAATCTATTGTTATTTTATGGAAATTTTGAAACACTGAGGTATAAAAAATTATTTTTTAATCTGTATGTAAATTAATATAAAAAAATTTACTATCCATTAATATTAATACAAGTATTAACATTGTATGAATAAAGTTTTTTCACCAATTTTTGAGAAAGTTAAAAAAATATAAATATATGTATGGATTTTAAACTGTGATGCTAAGATGAATTTATAGTTGCGGTGGTAAATGCATTTAACGTAAAATTATTATCATAAAATACAGGGAAAGAGGTTTACTTCATCGCAGGAAAACCTTCGTCTTACATTTTCGTAATGACTAAATTGCACTAATGATGGTGCTCGGTGCTTTTTCTTATGATGTACTTACAAGCGTTAATAACATAATGGATTGGAAATTTCTCACGTTGATCTACATCAATACTTTTTCAGAAGAATTTAATATTCCAATGAGAACATTTTTTAAAACCAGGTCATACCATCTCGCGCACAGTAAATCTGTAGTCAAATAAAAGTTTTCCAATGATCGTTTATCACCACTTCAAACGCATGTGTAATACTATAAAAACGCCAAAACAAAAGGGCTGAAATATTAGTATATCTATTTTAAAAAGCTGTACCTCTGTACTAACTCTATTTCCATTTTAAATATAAAATACCTCACTTGACTACTCAGTTTTGTTAATATTACCAAAATATACAATGCACTCCAATTATCGTTATCATATTTTTAACATTTAAACCTTTAAGAAAATTCTCGTGACAAAATCACCATCTATTTATGGTATTCCCAACATATACTTAATCGGTTATAAATTATGAATTCCATGATTATTATTTTTTTTTTTTTTTGGAAAAAATCATAAGCTTAAAAAAGCATCACATTTGTTTTTCGAATTATTAGATGCTGTGCCTAACGAGCGGTCAAACGAATCTGGACGACTCGAGGAGGCAACTGCAGGCCCAGTCCGAAACGTCGACCATCAATTTCGTCCGACTGTTCGTGATGAGGCTGATATTCGGCTTAGCCTCGGCGATGGGCTTAGGGGAGAACTTGTCCAACTTTTTGGGCGGCATTTTCGTCCCGCCGGGCGTGGATTACGAGGATGACTACGACCTCCTTCCGGACTTTTACTAATCAGATTGGAAAAAAACATATAGAGTAAACTATCGTTACCAAATATTATACATTCGCTGTAGGCAACTCGGAGATTTATCGGAATTTTTCCGCCATTATGATTCATGTCCGTGTGTCACCATATATTACCATGTCGTATTCCAAATTTGATGTACACGACTTGCGATTAATGGCCTGTACATGGAAAATACATGTAAATAGTCGTTCCGGCTACGTTTTTCATTTTAAAAATGATTTAGTGGTACTTCAAACTGAACCTGTATCGATTGGCAGAAAATAAATAAATGTATGTTTATCTACAGGATAATATTAGTAGTCGCTCTTTTGGCAAAGTAACCGATGATTTAAAGGTGTAAGTTAAAAGAGTATCAACAAAATCAATGGTATTGGTTCTGGTATGATAATTCATTAACTAAGCTTTTGTTTACAATCACTTCTAGTTAAAAAAAATTTATCCTAGTTTTTTTTACGTTTTACAATTTAATGTGTATCGATTTATTAGCTTATTTATTTATTAACGAATAATTTTATTAAAAATTAAAGAAAAATGGCCTGTTTAAATAATTTTACTCACTTAATAATTTATTTATGTATTTACTCAAATAGCACTCGTGCAATTTACGTAATTCGTAAATACCCCCACGAAAAAAAAAAAAAAAATGTTTTAGGTGACAAATATTTGTTGAAAATCGGTTTGTAAATAAAATCAGTGGTTATTTCGTAATCCATTCGTCGTTGAAAAAAAAAAAAAATAAATAATAATAAAATAAAGCCTACGAAAAGAGAGAAAAGAAGAACCTGTAAATATTAGTTTTGTATACCATATACCATAACACTTTAGTGGTAATAAAAGTAGTTATAAATAAAAAAAATATGTGTCAAACTCATTGATACCCGCACACACGCAACATTTACAGTTGACCTGCCGAATAACATTCCTAACCGTCTGAGCGGGAAGCAGCGGAGGATTATTATAATTATAGTCGTCACCAAAAACGCCTACCTGTAGGATGTGCACACACGATACCCGTAAGCTCATCGCGGGATGGAAAATTAAATCGGTGGGCATCGAAGAAGAAAAAAAAAAAAGAAAAAAAAAGGAGTCCGGCCGGCCCACTACAATTGTGCCGTTACATTCTTTTTCGATGGCCAGACATAGTCTCACTTACAACTTTGACATTGGCCCTGCGTCGTTTCTTTGGTCGAATAAATTTGCGCGTCAAGTAATTCGTATGCGCCTGGCTGGTGAAATTGACGTTTCCGAGGTTAAAGGGAATATAGGTATAAAATATGTAGGTACACATCAGTGCCTACATATATATATATATGTATATGAATGGATGGGAATGGGAATCTTTTTTGAAAGAGCAGCGCGCGCGTGTATCGTAACGGTACAAAGTGCGACACACGTGCTTGCGCTAATTGCATATGCACACGCCGTACAACAATGCGCCCAATGAGGCTGTGGCATATTACTAGATACATATATATACTTAGAGGTTTACTGCATAGCGAAATACGTTTGACGACACTTTCACGCGCGACTTGTTATTATTTTTTTCTTTCTTTTTTTCTTTTTGCGAGGCTTGCGCGCGTTACGAGGCTAATTAGAGTGCCTTTGACGCTCTCTCGGTGCGCTGAAGGATATTTTTTTTTTTTTTTTTCATGCCAACTGTTATTGCGCTTTTCACGGGCGAGCCGAGTTTTCTTTTTAATGTTTGGTAATTTTTTTTTCTTTTTCTCTTTTTTCAACGCCATTTATAAGTACCGTGTGTGTTTACGTGACTGTAGTGATTGGTAACTAAAAAAAAAAAAAAAAAAAAAGTTAAACCTTTTAATTTTTTTTTTAGAAAAAAAAAAAAAAAAAAAAAAAAAAAATTTTCGGTATGTAAGGGTTCACGAGATTTTTTAGAAAAAAAAAAAAAAAACGTAAACAAGTTTTACGAGGGATTGGGGGGAAAAAAAAAAAAAAAAAAAAGAATCGGCAACATTTGATTTTTTAATTCAGAGTCAATGTTACTTTTTGCCATTTTTCCATGAGTTCGTCCTGTACAATGTTTATGAATAATCTGATGGATATATACCACGTACGTCTTAGCTATAGTGGTCTTTGTTCATCATTTTTTATATTTTGTCACGCATTTTCAAGTGGAGTACAAACATTTTGTACGCGTGTAGCATAATGCAAGTTGTACAATTTACACGGCCAGAAAAATGGTACTATTATTCCTTTACCACTCGTTGAACTTGTGCATAAGTATATGCGAATGGCAGTTTGTGCATTTAACAATACTAACTGCGCCAACATGTGCGTACTTGAAAATCATGTGCAATTTTAAAAATAGAAAATATTTCCAGAGAGTCTCTTCGTGTTGACGGTTATTCGTGGATTGAAACGTCGGCCGTTGAGGAATTTTCCACGTGACNAAAAAAAAAAAAAAAAAAAAAAAAAAAAAAAAAAAAAAATATACATAAAAATCAGTTGGGAGAGTTTAAGAAGTCTTCTACACACTAAACTGTTAGTAATTTTTTTGATTTCTATATCACGTATACCAAGTTTTTCAATCTATTTACGCACGTATATGAAATGAATGGATGAATACTTCATTAAATTCATGTTTTCCGTTGATAAGTAGGTCAGCCACACTGGCCCAATGAATAAAATTAACGACGAGCGTTATTTGGAACAGACAGGCATTCGATTGATTGACGTGGAATAAAAATCGATTGAAATATAATTTACTAATAAAATACGAAATTCTTTAATGTCAGACACTTACACAAAAAATATACACTCACATTGTCATAAATAAGTTTTTAAATAAATCGTAAATCTATTAATAAAAATTAAAATTGCACCAAAAAAACACTTTGATAAAAAATAAATAAATACCGTCTTGGAGACGTAAAAAAGTACGAATTGTAAGTAAACACACAAGTTTTCAACTCAATCGGAATAGTCACCATAGTCGGACTCATCGTCGTCCTCCTCTCCGTTGTAGTGCATATTGCACCCGATTTTTTTTCTAATCAGATCCCCCCATAGCACCTCGCTGTGGCAAAGTGGACACGACCCCTCGACCGGCAAAATCATACCGGTCCCACCTGTGAAAGACTCGGCCAAGCAAACGAGATGCGAAACCAGCCGGCAACTCAACTTTATACAAGTGATTCGATCGCCCTTATCAACCCACGTCGAGCAAATCGAACAGACCGACTCCTCCGCATCGTTATCGATTTCATTTTCTTTTCCACGGTTTTTCGCTTTCTCCGACTCGTCTGTCTTATTTGAGGCGCCTTCGGGCTTTTTCGACACGACCTTCCCGTAAACGATGGGCATGTGCAAGGGCGGACTGACCTGGGTCGAGTGGGACTGGCCGAAGTCGTCGTCCACCCAACGCAAGGTGAGCGGTAGTCGAGACCACGGGCCAACTTTGAGCATCTCCGAGAGCACGAAGAGATTGTAGTCGATGGTTTTCTGTCGAGTCTTTTTCTTCGGCACGTGCTTCAAACGACGACTCAGCTCCGGGTGCTGCCAGGCCCACTCGAACTGAAATTGTTGTTGCACGTTTTTCGGCTTTTTTTTCCAACAAGGTACATTTCACTTTCTACAAGCTGCGTTCTTTTCGCGACTTACCCGCAAGGCTGCAGTTGAGTTGGGAAACCCGTGAACTGTTAGTACCATCACCCTGAAATTCATTAGACAAAGTTTACGAATGACGTTTTTCCCTACCCTTTTCAAATATTTTAATCTTACGTTCTAGTATCCGTGGATATAAGTTTTTTTTTCCAATTAAATCTGCAGGTGTCATTTAAAATTTCGCGCCTGTCAAGCTCAATTCATTTGGACCGTTCTGCGTTCCGTTGTGGAGATTTTTTTCAAGTGTGTTTTGTTGTCAGATACTTATCACGTGACCTACGCTCTTTTTCTCTTCAATTGACAAGTGGATTTAAAAACAAGTAATCATCAAGTACTTTAATAACTATCGTGTAACACTTGCACTGTGAAAAGGGAATTCGGGCGTATTGACGATAAATAAGATTTCGGTAGCGAATCGATTATAAATAAAGTAGCAAATCACCGTTGTAAAATAGCAAAAATCGTGTAAATATGCTCGTACACAGATAATAATTAATCGTAAAATATAACACAAACTCTGAGTTTAAACAATTTTTTTAATCAAGAAAATTTTTCATAATATTTTTACAAACAGTAAAAAAAAATCTCTTATTAAAAAAAAAAAAAAGAAAAAAAAACAAGGTTATGTTCACCATGGTCCGCGATTGCTGGTTCTCCAAGCTCCGCCAAATTCCTTTCCTGCATTGTGTTGTTTTATTCTTCTACTAGGATTAACCGTGTACCCGATGTACGTTCTACCTCTGTACTTTGGGTTTTTACAATAAAGTAAATAAACTCCGTAGAAATGTTCTACCACTTGCGGCTCACACGACATAACTTGGGAAACTGTAAACAAAACAAACACCTTTCAATTCTTTCAAAACGGCCAAATTCCAGATTCCATCGGGTTCCTTGGATTCAACTGACGTTTGACAGATTGATCAGATATTTTCAATATCACCCGCGAAGTTTTTACAAGTGTAGGTATGTATATATATTTCTTAAGATGCAAATATTTATTTGACTTGATCGTAACACGTGAATTTAATATTAATTAGTTTGAACTTAGGTAGGAGATAAAAAGATTTTACAACGCATTAGAATGTATATCCTCCACAATATATTGAATAATCGTACTTACAAATGAATAAAACATGAGAGATACAATTCAGCAACAATTTTTACATTTTTCAGAGTATCCTCGTAAATAACGGATTATTTTTAAAACTACCTGTCACATAACATACAATTTTGTATTTTACATAATCATCTAATATATTTAATTATTTGACTACTGTTATATTTTTAATCAACAACATTTTTATATGACCCTCCAACAAGACACTTTTACAGCATAAATAATTTCTCGATACACATTACAAATGAACAGTATTAATGACTCACATATCTACGTTTGATATATTACACATATGATTGAAAATATATAGATCATTGGTAAGACTTAAAAAACGATTTATGCAACAATTGAACGATGATGTTGCATCAGGCGGCACCACTTTTCGGCATCAATGATTTCTTGAGTTTGCAAATTTACATGATTGAGCTTGGGGAAAAAAAAAAAAAAAAAACAGAATCGAAGCATAAGAAATCAAACAATAATCATTCTTACAGGGAGATTTTTCTTTATTGTAACAGAAAAACAAAAATATAATAGTAATATAAATAATTACAACAATCGGAAAACTTTACAGTTTTCACTGGTAAAATTAACTTTCGATGATCCGAACAACACAATAAAATCCATGAAACAATTTTTATACATGCTGCATTGGCCTGATGTACCAACATTCCTTGTTTTCTGTGTCGTTCGCTTGAACGTGTATATACGGAAAAAATATCTTCACTTTTCCACGCATACCACCCAGAACATAAATGTCGCGCGCGCGTGATTTCAGTTCATGTCCGACATTGTCATCGTGTTTTTTTATTCTTGACTTGTTTGGTAACGATAGTAATATTTTATTTTATTTTTTCTCAGGTAGATATTTGTCTTATATTCTGCGTGCTTTTTGTTTTCATATTTTTTTTAACAATTTAATAAGCATGATTTGCAACGAAGAGGGCAGCATCGCCGGCCGCTCCGGCAACACCACCGGCGTACTTTCCAAGAGCTGCTTCGCTGTTTGCCTGTAAAATTCAAGAATTTCAATTTACAAATAAAGTCTCGTTTTAAAATTACCGAGTACGTGTTTGAAGAATTAAAGAAAACATTGCAGTAACTCAAGTAGATTATACAGATAATGTATTACAATCAAGCACAATACAAGTAAGATGTATATATAAATACAAAAAGATGTTGGATCGTCAAGCAGAGATTTTTCATTTTTTCATCTTATCATGTACTCGTAAAATTTAGGCCAAATCTTATGTTTTTTAAGTTCATACAAAAAGCTCTATTAAAAAGCTTTATCATCGCACTGCATGAAATTATCTCGTGTAACGCAAAATCTCTGCTTGCCAGGTATCTCGTGCTTACCTTGTGAAGAAAAACAAAATGACTTGTGACAAGAGGTGTATTTGATTTTTGGGTGTGTTTTTAGTATGCGTGTGATTTAACGTGGAGCGAGGTTTTGCCCGCCAAGCTGGATATGCTGCCGGCCACGTACTTGCCTTGGCAGGCTGCGCCGTTGGCCTGTGTGAAGACGAGCAAAAAAAAAAAAAAAAAAAAAAACAATCGCATGCAACTAAACTACTAAAAATATTACAGGGAGGCATAGTACTTGAGATTAAAAAATTTTTTTGCCGATTCAAAGACACGAATGGTTAATAATTTTCAAGTGCTAAGCGACAGGGAGTAATAAACTTGGGAAATAAGACTGAAAACTACTGAAAATAACTATAATTTACTACGAGCTTTTTTTTACCTCTAAACAGCGGTACAGGAACAATAAAAGCTATTGGATCGATGCGTACTAATAATATTCAACTCCAAAAGGTACGAATAAAAAATAAAAAAATGCTCAATAAATATTAAACACTACAATCGGCACTTGCAACGTAGGTGCGTGCGTTAATAAACAAAGTTAGCAACTATTGACGTGAAACATCTATATACAGCTTGTTACTGGGGTGCTCGTTATTTCCTGATTATATATACATAAAACAACGGGCACCCCGCTGAATCATGACAAAGCAAACCGAATCTACAAACGGTTCAAGTTACAGGTCAACCATAAAAGTTAAACACGGCAGGTCTATATATACTGACAAGGGCGAGTGAGCCCCGTAATACCTTGGCTCGCTTGATGAGCTCATCTTGACCCTTGGCCACCTGGTCCTTCTTGCCGCCCCAAGCTTGCAACACGGACGCCTGAAGGGCGCGGCCGTAGCTGAAGGTAAGGGCCCAGGGCTTCTTGAGCGGGCACTTGTTGATGGCATCGAGATTGATGGAAGCCTCCTCCTCGGACTGGCCACCGCTGAGGAAGGTGATGCCGGGCACCGCCGGGGGCACGGTGCGCGACAGCGCGGTCACCGTCGCGAAGGCGATCTCCTCGGGCTTGGCCTTGTTCGGGCAGCTCTGGCCCGGGGTCACCATGTTCGGCTTGAGGAGGGTGCCCTCGAGGTAGACGTGGTGATCGGCCAGCGCCTATGTTACACCCGCAAAAGGACGGATGTTTATCATACAAGCTATATTATATGTATATGATGTCCTTATTTGAATCCTAGCTAGGTGGGGGTGGCCTATACCTTGTAAACGGCGGCGAGCACCTCCTCGGTGACCTGCTGGCACCTGGCGAGGTCGTGGTCGCCGTCGGGCAGGATCTCGGGCTCGACGATCGGCACTATCCTCGCGCTCTGGCAGATCGAGGCGTAGCGGGCGAGCACGTTAGCGTTCTCGAGGATGGCGAGCTTCGAGGGACAGTCCTTTTTGATCTTGAGGACGCAGCGCCACTTGGCAAAGTGGCAGCCGTCCTTCTTGTACTGGACGCAGCGGGCCTGGAGATCATCGAGGCCTTGGGTTGTGCACTCGTCGTCGGTGCCGAACAGTGGGACGACACCCTTGTCCACCTTGATCCCGGGGATGATGTTGCGCTCCTTGAGCAGGTCGACGAAGGGCGTGCCGTCGTCTGCCTTCTGGTAGAGAGTCTCGTGGAAGAGGATCACGCCGGATATGTGCTGGCTTATCACCTCCTTGGAGTAGAAGAATATATATATATATATTTTTTTCAATGGTACAAGCTAAAATTGTGCGGTGCGAAAATGTTTTTATATCTTTTGTACCTTGTTCGTTGTGAAGAGGAGCTGCCTGTATGCTTTGCGGTTGTCCTCGTTGTTCTCGGTGTTGATCTGCTGGAGGCGCTTGCCGATCGTCGCGGTTGACTCGTCGGCGGCGAGGATACCCTTACCGGCAGCTACGATCCGCCGAGCGATGTCGGCGAGCTCCTGCTTCAGCTCGGGGTCGGCCTTCAGGTAGGTTTCGGAGGGCATTTTCTGGAAATAGTGGGTATATTGTTTAGGGCATTAGGTATAAGTTATTAAGTGTAGTTTATAAAATTTAATTGAATTTCTTTTTTTTTGCGTTTGTATACCAATGTCTAGTGGTATTGCAGTACTAAGATATGGTAGCTCTGATGTCACCCTAAATACAAGCTTATACAAATCTTGTTCTTTAGTTTTCGAGTGAATAATCTTTATGAAATCAAACATTTATCATTTGTAACTTAAAAGTAATACGTAAGTGTTGCAAAAAAAAAGTATAATAAAAGACCTTTTTTTTTTTTATAAAAAAATTTCAAAAAAAAAAAAAATTATTTCAAAATTTTTCTATTCTACTAACTTGTGTTTTTAATTTTTGGTAAATATTTAACTGAAGTATTCGATGTTTTGATATTTATAAAGTATGAACAACAGTCAATGACCTTTCACGTGGTAAAATTAAATTTGCTTAAAGTTTCAATTTATTAGTAGATTTTTACTTAAAAAATACAATTTCTAAAGGGCTTTTTAAATTTCATCTCGTTGCTTTTGCGGCATCCCATTTTTCGTTCCGTATTACGCAATAACGATATAAGAGTTACAGATAACAAACTGAATATACTCAGAATGTTTTTTACGTTGTGTATATGCTTTCATTCCACTAAACAACATCTTCTGATCATTATACACGCAGATGAGTATTGTTTTAATTTCTTTTCGTATCAAATCGATTCTCAAAAACTCGTTATGTTAGCTGTAGATGTGTTTCAAAGCTATATATACGTGTGAATGAAGTTTTTAGGACAAAAAAAAAAAAAAAAAAAAAAAAAAAAAACTATAAAAAAATATGAAAAACTCAATCGAAGAAAGGCAAAAACCATCTCTATTGATTTATGTAAGTATTAGTTTGTCTTAAAGAATAGAGTGAAAAACATCATGAAAAATAATGTATCGAAACGAAATCAACTTTGTATCAATTTAAACGAAAAAGTGTACCATAACATACATGTTATAAATTACAGCTAAAATACTATGTTATTTTAATTGTTACGCGCTAAAATGAAAATGCTGATGATTTTTTTTTCCCCCGAACCATAATTATGTAAAAATAAAAACTATAATGTTTAATCACGAACCGGAAGTCATACGTCACGTATTGTGACGCATAAAATAATGAATAAGCATTTGAAATGAAAGTTCAATACATATTCCCAAAGCTACAGCATCTTCACACAAGTTTCAACTCAGAATTGTCCTCCACGTACACGCCCAAGGTCACCCAGCACAAACAATTTCACTTTCGCCCCTCGTCACTTGCCCAGCTGTTATACCTTATACTCATACGAGTATACTATACGGAAAATGGATCGATTAGATGGGACGCTTGCGCGCTACGTTTCTCTCTCGTCTCGCGTTGTTAAGTACTTATTATCGTGCTTAGAAATACATACATCGTAATTTTTTTATTTTTTTTTATTTTACATCGTCGTAGGTACAGGTTATCGACCTCTTTTCATTTACATAATCTTTTTTGTGACGTCGAACAGTAAAACAAACAGGAGTATTTACGACTCGATATAAAGAGAGAAAAACTTGATATTTTTTTTATTTGATGCCTCGTGACATTTACAAGGAATAATATAATATATAACATCACCTACTATTTGGGTGATATAATCATTATGAATTAAAAGTGCAACTTCAATGAATGAACATCAGCTTGATGCAAAAATAATCTAAATTTCATCATCCCCGATATATTTATACAATAACAATAATAATATTCATAATCAACTCGAAATGGCCCGTGAAAATGGTAAACAAGGTATACCTATGAACATTGAAAAGAACGCGTGAAATTTAGGGAGGGAGTATAATATATATATGAATAGTTTTAACACGTGTCATGTAAGCAATGATCTGCAGTGTGCCACGAAGAAAAAACAACCGCAGCTGCCAATCAATCGCTACTTGACGAAATCATCCTTCGTGCCATGCTCTCGTGGATGACATTTGCTCATCCTACCGCGCGAACGTGCCTATTTTTATACACCGATAGTGAAATTTTATTATTACTGTGTACTTACATATATATGTACGTGTAACGTGACAATCTCTTACCAAATTGTTAATTATTTCGATGGTCAAAAAGCTCGGAATAGAGGCAAAAGGGACATGAATATTGATATACTTGTACAAGGAAGAGAAGAAGCGCATTGCAGCGTTTCACCAAATTTTCATTTCACGGCATGATGGTATTTTTTTTTCTCTTTTGGCTATAGGGCCAAAGTCTTTCGAGGATGTGTTTGATCGGTATATTGCTTAATTAAACGTTATTCGTGTCAATATTTAAGTTAATGATAAGATCATGCATCAAAAAATAACATGATAATATATACGAAGCGTTTTTTAAAAATGCATTAAACGTAGTTGTAAACAAAACAAAAATGTACGTTACTTACATTTCACGCGTTTAAAATTTATTGTGTATAAAAAAAATCGATATCAGCCAGACAAAATAGTAATGAGATAATATAACGATGTAAGATCGTAAAATATGCAGATGAAACAGTTGACTTTAGCATAAAAAATGGATGATCGTAAAACTATACAACCACGGTATGCTAAAGAGAGAGAGAAAAAAAAAAGACGAAAATCGAAGGCAAAAAGAGCATACGCGCAAAGAGAGTATCGATGACGCAAGAGGCTTTGTGTGTACGCGAAAAAAGATAACAAGATGGACTTGGGTGCGAACGCGCAGAAAACGAGGATGTACATAATTTAGAAAGCTCTATAGTTCTCCCAAGAGAGACAGGGGCGCATCGCACGCGATAACTCGATTTTTGGCGTGACTCGATCTCTTTTCCACTGACAGATTTTTTTTTTTTTTTTTTCATATTTTATGTGTTTTGGGCTGTTTTTCACGCACGATTTGGTTGTAAAAAGCTCTGTAGGTGCGAACAAAAATAAATAATACACAGCGAATTAGCCTTCCCCTTCCTCGAGATGTGTATCGAAATGTTGTGTGTTTTTGAACGCGATGGGCCGATGAATACAATGGACCGTGCAAGTTTTGAAGTGTAAAGTGTAAGTGTAAACACAAGTGTGTTGAATTATTTTTTGATCAAAATTACCTTTCTGTGTGGTTAATATATTGCTTTAACTTTTGATTGCAAACTGGCTCGGCCAAATTTTTGTTTCCTCCCCCAAACAAGAAGCAAAATAAAAACCATATAAACTCCGGCTTGTGCGCACTAGTGGCACACACCTGTACACGTTTTACCCACAATACAAAAGTAATCACGATTCACACGTGCCTTATCCCCACGCGCAATATTAGCACACGAACAAACGATTTGTTCGAACCGTAACGTAAATCGCGCAACCCTCGGAAATCTCAATTGTCATTGGTGCCCAAAGTCATATTACAATTTTCAGACTATTACGTAACACCATCACGTACCTATACGTATAATATAATCGCGAAAGGAAAGCACGCTTTCCACGTCGATTTTTCTCCAGTATTACATCATCCAACGCGAGCGTGCCTATTTTTCTTCAAAAAAAAAAAAGAAAGCATCACGCATTGCGTCTCTAAAGTGGAGTACAATATCCATCAAGTACAGCCAAGCGCGCGCGCGTATACTGCTCCGAATGTCAGTCAAGGTCAGCCAGCCGAGAGGTGTGACATACACCTATAATCGTACGTGCACGTAACAAACAGTTTGACAATCATTAAAAGCTCCCTTCGGCAATAAACAATGGGGGGGGGAGGGAAAGGGGGCTATGGATAAGAGACAACGAGTGATAAAGCAACGGTTGCTCGACTTACGTGTTGGTTGGATTATCTGGTGTCCGTCAACGGGGGAAGATGAGTACGAGAGAACTAGGTGCGGCGTGAGGTCCGGTCGTGCGACAGGCGAGCGAGCGACTGAGCGCCGTCTGCTATACAAGCTGCCTCTCTCTCTCCCCGATGATTGCACGCCGGGCGAGCAGAGAGGGGCGAAGAGAAGGAGGAGTCACTGCGCCAATGGCGCGAGCTTTCGGAGCTTGCGCGCACACGCTTTTTTTGCGGCCGATTTTTGAAATCGGTTGCCGATCGTGCCGATTTTCTGGAAAGGAATCGAAACGATTGGAAAAGAGGAGCCCCGTCGATCGGCGAGTCGGTCCAGGAGATGGAGAGGCTCGACGGGCCTCGAGGTGCCGGCTGTATGAAGCTTGAAGGTCAGCCGAGGGCACCTTCAGCGCCCGCCGCCTTTTCCCTCCTCTTTTCCTCTATCGTGCATCACCCACATTATTGTTGTCGATTATACCTTTTTTTTTTTTCTTCTCGGTTTATTTGGTTCACTAAGGGATACTTGCCGCGGCGTTCATGGAAAATGAGATGAATGCGATCGATTCGCTGAATGCGGGCGTGCAATCGGCGCAGGGTCAAAGTCGAGGGTCTCGTAATTATAGACTTGACTGCCGTTTCACCCATCGATCTAGCGCTATCGACCTCTTCCCCTCTCTCTTTTTTTTTTCATCGCATATACCGTTCTCCTCCTCTTCCCTTTTTTTATTCTTACTCCCTGTAGACTATACCTTGTTTTCCCTCTCTATTTTTATCCTCTTCCATAGGTGATGATTTTTTTCGTGTAATGTTATGGTATTTTTAGTTATATATATATA